GTAGCGTACCGAATTGGCACGATAATATCTGAAAAGAAAGGGAGAAACACAGAAAATTTTTAAATATTTTCGAATATATGTTGGAATAATAAGTGTGAATGAAATTACAATAAAAAATAAGGGAACAAACTTGAATTTCTTATATTTCAGGACTTATGAAGGACTTCCCCTTACGCTTTTATGTATGTATAAAGACCAATAGGTATGCAGAGTGACAACAGGTTTATATAAATAACAATTGTTCAGTATAGAGACCGATTGAAAGTGTCTGCAGAGAGACCATCGATTTGTATAGAAACCACAGGTGTGTATAAAGATCAATTGGTCAGTGTATATAATACATGGGTATATATAGTCGAATTGGTGTGTAGGAAGACCATAGGCCACTAGTTATGAAAACTGGCCGATTGTAAGTGTATATATATCACAGATCGCCTCAGAGTCCATAGGCCTGTATAAAGACCAATTTATATTTACCCATGTGTCTTTCTAGCTTCATTTACATGCAATAGAATAATCAGTACAATATATGTAAATCATGGTATATTAAGGCCAAAGGCCACACTATGCGAAACTTCAATTTGCCAATTGACTCAAAATGTCTTAATTGGTGAAACATTTAATTGAAATCGGCCTAAAGACCCTCTGGGTCTTCGAAGACCAAGCTAATTTAACGAAAATTATTCGGAGAGAGATCTATCATCAGTCTACCGGAGCTGCAGCAACTGGTGAGGAAATAATAGAGTATAGGTAACGAATTATCAATTGGTAGTAACGTTAATTCCCACCACATTAAGTGGGGTACTACTAATACCCCAAAAGGCGGTCAGATCCTCATAGATTTCATCAATACTTACGGCCTAATAATATCCCTTAATATCACTTCGTTATTAGAATTATAGAGGAGGTTTTAGACATAACTAAATGTTCAATTAACTTAAGAGAAACCCCCCCCCCCCCCCCACCCCTTACCATTCGCGATTTTAATTTTTCAAGATTTTCAATGGTCTGGTAAATCAATACCAATGCTTGTTAAGGTTTGTAACTTTGCACATATGTAATTGAAGATTTAAAAGAGAAGAAAAATAATTTACAAAAATTTTTTTTCATTGTTTTGTTGTTGTTTTCTTTGGAATCGATTGGGTTATTAGTTTTTGAGTTATCGTGCCCGCCATTCGCAAAAGAGAAAAACGCGTTTAAAGTTTGAGAAGCCCTTCAGCCGTCACTTGATGCTAACATAATAAATCGTCTATATCTTCAAGAGTTCTTGAGATTTTCACTTGAAATTTTGTAGGGACATTCTTGAATTAGTGTAGATTCTAATTAAATCGAAAAAAATTGACCCCGAGAATGGGGGGTCCCCTTAATAGATGTGGTACAAGAATGGAGAGTCCCACAAGAATACTCATTCTCTTACCATAAATATATTAGGATTAAACACTTCAAGAAAGGAAATATGCCTTCGACAGACCCTGGATGACTGGCGACATTTGAAACAAAGGAAAATAGGTCCAAAGATTTTATAATTGAGCTCGCCGCAAGAAATCTGCAGTATACCGAGAAAGAATACAACAAAATGACAAGAGCCTCTGGAAAATATTCTGTGAACAGGAAGATAGAATAAATGACGTCTCAAAAATAGAGAATTTTCCATTAAAAAGCAACACTCATATCGAAAACAATGATATATAGATAGATAGAGGGAAAACCAGAATAGAGACAATAGATAAAGCAAAAAGGCTCCTCACGAAAGCTTATTTCCCGCCGAACACATCGACATCTGATGAAGTAACGATGAACCTATGAATAATGGGCAAATGGTGAAGATTCATTGAAGACTTCTGGCCATTCGAAGCAGTTGGGCAGACCCCCGCATTTCGTAACACATGTTTACGAAATGCGAACACTCCGAACGCCTGGCATAAGCCAAAGCCCGGCAAGACACACTACGCAACACCAAAATCTTGTGATGCCAAATGTCCGAACCTTGACACGGTTGAATTTAATTCGTAGATTCATTTTCAAGTAAAGATATCTGTAAGCCGCATTGCCCCATATGCCTGACGAGCCGCTTAACCAACGGCGAAACGCATCGCATAATGGTGGGAATGTAGTATCTCTCTGGCTTTCCTTTTCAACAACTACGATCCTGTGGCTCATCTCGAAAGAGAAATTATTAAAAAATACACTTTATTTATTCATTTCGGATTCTACTCATGAATCTGACTCTTCGGTAAATAAGTTTAAAGTTATAGTCAACGCAAAATTATGGCGACAGAGTTGTTTGCTTTATATTGGATTCGGAGTCTAGTCAAAATCATATCGACGACATTGTTTGCATTACATTATTCCCATATACAAACTGTCGGTTTCGATTTAGATGTAGCTAGATGTTATCCGCCATGTTGTTGGGTTTGCTTGCAATTTATTTCCACCTTTTTTACCGATACTTTCTTCTAAGACATAAATATGGGGGATGCTTATCTTAATTTTATGATTATGTGTCGACGGTAATTTGCATATTGTTTATTTTATTTTTAAACCTAAATGCATGTAAATTAGAATATATTAAATATTCTCTAATTAATCCTAAGGTATAAATAGTATATGTGATAATGTTTCGAAGTCAGTACCTAAAAGTATATTGAACGCCTAACAGTTACCTGAACCTGAAGCAGAATTATTCCCTTAAAAATGAAAGCCCTAAGTGTTGTTTTGATGATTGTTTTTGTTTGTGATATAAATGCCCTCTATACACGAGTCTGTGGTCCTCATTTAACGCAGTTGTTAGAAGCCGTATGTGTTAACGGCTACAATGGAATGCAGATGGCCAAGAAGTCTACATATAAGCCATGTAAGTTGTTTACTGTTTATAATGAAGATAAGTTATGTTTAAGCTTTCGTATTTTTTTAACAGTGACTTCAGACATTGACGCTATAGATATATACAATGAGATCGATGATGATATATCTCCCTTCAAATCGAATTCCTTGTTAAAGGATATGTTGTACGGGGAACGTATTAACACCTTGGCCAAAACCCGTAGGCAACGACATTTATCTGGTGTTTATGATGAATGCTGTCGTAAACCCTGCAACATGGATGAATTACTAAGTTATTGTTTGTAATGTGTTGTTAATGGAAATTGTTGAAAGAATGAAATGATTATATTGTAAATATACACACATATATTAAATGTCCTTACACTTAACGATTTTATATGTGACAATTTGACATACGATAAATTCGAAAGTGTTTGTGCGCTTTTAAGTAAATTACAACAAGAAAACATGCTGGTTATTGTCGTTTTTTTATTATTAGTAGTAATTAATATCTGTAAATCGATTTATATACCCTTCACAACACTACTCTGTGACACAGGGTATTATGTCTTTGCGCATATGTTTGTAACAGACAAAAGGAAACGAGATAGACACATGGTTCCTTTTGAGAATATGCATAGAATCACTTTCTGAGTTGTTTTATGCATGTCCGTCCGTCCGTCCGTCTGTCTATTCATGTTAAATTCGCAATGTACAGGTCGCATTTATGATCCGAATTGGATGAAATTTGGCTCAGCTCATTTATTTGGCCCAAGGACGAACCCCATTGAAATTGGGAAAAATCGGTTCAGAGGAAATGAAAGAAAACTTGAAACATAAGCCGTTAGCTACATAAAAACAACGATGTTAAGAATTATTTCAGTACGTTCTGCAAACGTTTGTGCCAATCGACCTAACATTGGGTCTTTGGTGCACCACTTACATTAAATCGGACGAAAATATGTATATGGAAGCAATATCGAATCTGAACCGATTTCAACGAAACTTGCAACACGTTAGGCTATACAAACTTCAGTATGATGTTCAACATTTTGTGCATATTGGCCATATTTTGGGTCTTTGCTTCATTATTGGTTTAAAATCGGATGAATATATATGGAGTTATATATCGATCAGAACCGATTTCAGTGAATCTTTCCACAAGTTAGTTTATACTAACATCAGTACTTTGTGCAAAATTGTATGTTAATCGGCATTATCTTGGGTCTTTGGTGCACCATTAACTTAAAATCGGATGAAACTATATATGGGAGCTATATGTAAATGTAAACCGATTTCAGTGAAACTTTCTACACAGTAGGATGTACTAAATTCAGTACGTTCTGCAAATTTTTGTGCCAATCGGCCACACTTGTCAACCTGTATTACAGTTCCACGTGTTGATGACCTTGCCGACCGTATTGCCTTTTTAATTTCTCTCTAAGTGAGTGAGAATTTTATTGTAGAAGAACCGCATAGGATGTTGGTAAATAAAGGTTGACACCACTAGAAATGTTCCGTCATACACAATAAGGAAACAGATTTTGAATATATAATATAAGAATTGTGTACATTCTAAACAAATAACATCAAATAATCGAAAACTTCAGTTTTGTACAATACTGTATTTTTTTCGAAACAATTAGTGTCAATATTATTATGTGGACATCCTGTTCAACAAGTGTAACGTTCATAAAAATTTACACATTGTTAATAATGTTGACAGCGATAAAGGTGGTGTTAGTTAATGAATGGCAAAAGTTCAGTAGATAATGTTAACACACACACACTCAAATACGTCGGGTACTATATTATTAAAATATGATATGTCACGTGATACAGAAACACTACTATACAATTGATATATGTACGTACAATGGTCCTTCACAGATATACACATATACACGATAGACATCTATATATAATTACGGAGCTAACAGCTTGTTTTAACAAAGCGAGATATGTTTTTATGTACAAATTACATGTAGTAATTTTGTAATTTGAAATGTTTTGTTTTGTGTAATTTGAAGTACTGAGTTTTTCGAAGACCATAGTAAAAAAGGGCTTATGTCAAAACAATGAACTAGTTTTAATATAGACCCTTCTTTAAAGCCCCGCCACATTATCGGTATATTGAACAAAATTTTACTGCATTTGTTTTTATAGTCCCCATATATGATGTGTGCCAAAATTGCCTTCAATCGGCTCAGATTTATTTATTTCCCATTTGTATACCCTCCACCATAGTATGGAGGGTATATTAATTTTGTTTTTCCGTTTATAACTCATCGAAATAATCATTTCCGACCCTATAAAGTATACATATTCATGATCAGCGTAAAATTCGATGACGATATAGTCATGTCCGTCTATATGTTGTAATCACTCTAGCCTCTAAACGAATTGATATAGAACGCTAAAATTTTGCACAAAGTCGTCTTTTGTCTGCAAGCAGGTCAAGTTCGAAAATGGGCTATATCGGTCAACGTTTAGGCATAGCTGTCATATAAGAGTACACACCAATTTTCGATATTTTGGGGTTCTTTAGCGCGTTTTCAACCGATTTCGCTGAAATTTGGCACGTTGAGTTCTTATTGGGTTCCAAATTTCTCCACTAAAAATTATAAATATAGGTCCACTTTTTATGGTAGCCCCCATATAACGGTACCCCCAATTTTTGGTATTTTGAGCGTGTTCTTCAAGCGAATTCGCTGTCATTTGGTAGTTTGTAGTCGTATATGGTATATGGTATCTCCCTACCATGAATTATTAATATTCGCCCCTTTTAGGGGTAGTGCCATACAACCCTCTATTTAGATTAAAATAGTTAACTGATTTATTCCACGTTTTGGGATTGTATCCGTATAGCCGCATTCCATAGCATGGGGGATATTCTGCACTCGAACTAGAGCTATATCGGTGCTCATTTAGGCATAGCCCCTCGTATAATGATAACTCCAAATGTTCGGTAATTCCTACACGATGTAATCAATATTGATCACCGTTAGGGATAGCCCATAACTTTGCCCTGTAAATTGCCTCATTTTGAGGATTTTATATACATTATCTACCTCATGTTTTATCTACCATGTTTTGGGGTTTTGAGATTTTATGAAAAATCATCATTAGAAATTGGTGAAATTTGTATTTGGTGGTTTACAAAAATCGATAGGTAGAATTGTCGTTAATGTCCACAATTTGATATATTCCCTGTATTTTCATTTCACGTAACTACCAGTAGTGGAGGGTATCTAAAGTTCACTTGTTATTTTTCGTCCGATTTCATGGCAACATGTAGAACAGTATAAAAATTTACAACAAACATAAAAAAACGCAATACAAACACCCGGACTTAGCACTGCACCCCAAAATCTAGCTTCAAAATTATGGGTTGGAACTACAAAAACGCGTCCGGTGACACCCATTCATTCCACCGAAATTCTATTCATAATTTTTTTATTTTTATTTTTAGTTTTTTTTTTTTTTTGCTTTCGTTAATGTAATTGGCAAATTGCCTCCGTACAAATAGTTACAGTGCAATATCTATTTTAAATTCGATTGTAAGAAAATTAGCATAAACAAACATTTGGCAGCGGATGGCAAACCTGATGCAGCAACAAAAAACTAAAAACTGAAATTGTTACAAATATTATTCGGTTTCTTTTTCGTTACTCCAAACTCTTGCCATTCAGCCCGCCCATTCATACCATTCACCTTTGTTGGGACTGTTTTGGTTTTTTTCCAACAGTCTGTTCTCATTATAGCCCAGAGGGACGATGTGAAATGGCTTTTGTATGTGGGGCATGAACGCAGGGACGCATGGGGCGAAATATGTTTGCAATTCAAATTGTATAAAAAAGAAATGGATGAAAGTGTATATACACAGAGAGATAAACAAAAGGATACAACCCAAACGAATGCACTTACTTGGCAAACCAGGATCCATCGTTGCTGGTAAAACGATCCACAAAATTGTGCAAGGAAATCGCTGATATATCACTTAGGGCATAGTAATGTGTAAGGTTGTATTCTGGCACCCAATTCGGTTCTCCCAGCAGATTGGCACTCTGCAAATCCATATAGTACTGGGTGTAGTCCAAAACCTATAATTATGCATAGAAGAAAAAAGAAAATAAGTTTGGAACGATGAAGAACAAGAAGTAGCTCCACATAAAAACTGTAACATTTCATTATGCTTCAAATGTTTTTTCCTGATTGTAAGGAGGTTTGTGTTTAAGTTTCGATTTTTTGTTTGTAGTTGTAATTTTCGTCCCAATGGATGGCCTGCTGTTAACGTCATTTGTTATGGTCAAGTGTTGAGTTTTTATTTGTTTTCTTTTCATTTCGTTTTTTTGTTTCTTCTTGTTCTATAAATATGGCTTTGTTGGTTTAAGCTTTTTGTGAATGAATTGAAAGAAATATGCAAACAATAGCAAAAATTATCGAAAGTAGAAAAACCCGAGTTGTTCTCCTTTGTAAAAATGAATGCAATGGTAAAAAAATACAACACAATGTGTATTTTCACAATACACTCCATACATACATACATTTTCATGTGACACATTTACATTTTTATCTTTTTGTTTTTGTATGACCTTAAAAAACAATTGCGAGAGGAGAGGAATTATGTCATGCATAGCCGAATATACACAAAGTCCTACATTACGTGGAGTATATGGAAAATATTCCATGTGGTGTACATTAGAGACTACTGCCTTAATTGGGGGTGTGTATCAAGATATATACATAAAGGTTTGTGCATTTCGTGGTTCCAACAGTAAATGTAAATAAAACGCATGTAAAATATTTGTTCATGATATATCTAGTTGTATAGGGTATACCATACACAACTATGTTGTCAGGGTATTATAGCTTTGTGACCCACCTTTTAGTATACCGATCGTCATGTCTCAACCAGTTGAGTTGATTTAGACATATCGCTCATTTGCTGCAGGAGAGGCATGACTCAAAAAAACGTATTTTTCGAGTTAATGAAGTACGATTGTTCTCTATAATAGTCCTCATGTTGTGTAAAAAATGCATATGAATATCTCTTACACCCTCTAATTGAAGGGCTGTAGAAGTTCTTCTGTGCCATATAAAGTACGAGTAAATTGAAAACTTAAAACGCATTTTCTGTAAAAGCGGGTTTTTTGAGTTATGCCTGTTTTGCAGCAAATGAACGATATGTGTCTGTCCATATGTCCATTATAATTTGTAAACACAATACATGCCACAGTTATAGGCCAATCATTATGCAGTTTTGCATGTAGGGCGGGTTCGGGTCAAGGAAGACTCTTATAGCT